ATCAGTCTTATCATGAGTTTCATTTTCCCCGAACCGGTTCACTTTTCACCCTTGGTTTCCATGGTTTTACTAAGGTTGGATGACAAATTTTCGGGTGATTTCTTTTTCAAGCGAAACTCAGGATAAGGCAGAATGTCTTCTAGGATATCGCTAATCGCTGAGGTAAAAAGACCTCATACTGTCACTACTAGATCACCAACAGGTGCAACTGTCTGCATTCTCCCTTTTTTGAGTTCCAAGAGTGCCACCACACAGAGCAGCAAAGATAAAACTCTGGGTAGATCTAGTCCTTTACTATACACCAAAAATATTTCTACTGCTCCACACTAGAAATCCCTATTAACGAATCAGTCTGGTAACTGAAACATTGCGTGTTTTTCTGAAGGCTCTTCTACAATCTGAGTATGGGGCTGACCTTTTCTTCCATAGGTTAATTTTCAATTAAAAACTATGCCACCTTTTTGGGAACAAAATGTGTCTGACAGGGATTTATCCAATTTCCAAACGCTTTTCGCATTTGAATAATTATCGCACTTTTATTTCATCGACATATTTTTTCACAAATATTTACAAGGTAAATATATACAAACAAAAGTGTAGTCTAATTTACTTAACTACCATAACCGTATGGAGCAGTGCTATGCACTGGCACATAAAAGTCACCGGCAACGAGTTCATAGTTGAAGACAGCACCCATTTTCACACCACTGTACTGAGTGCCACAACTCTTATCAACAGCATCTTCGTAGTCACTGCAGCGCACGGAGGGGAAATCATTCTTCTGCACCGCTTCAGCATAGTAAATGCAGGAACGCTCGTGACTGCACGAGCCTGTCAAATCAATGCCACAACCGGGCTGCTTCTTGCCACCATTCGGGTAGAAAGCACCCTTACCAATTGGCTTCAGGAATCCCAATTTACCGCCATTTGTTTGAATAGATTCCACATAGTAAGCATCATCTTCGTTGAGCCGTTTGTTGGGCTTATTGTAGCTGAAAAGTGGCAGAGCAGGGTCCAGGCCGGTAATAGCATGTACCTTACCGGCGCCGACATACTTGCCTATATAACCGGCAACTTGGGCGCCCAAACTGTGACCAATAACTTCGGTATCGTTCAAAGACATGCCATGCTCGTTTACCAAATAATCCACCATGCTGGCCACTTTCTTACCCACGCCGGATACAGCCACCACCGAGGAAGCATACTCAATGGAACGCGCACGGCCCCAGTCCACAATGATAATGTTGTATTCACCACGCGAGAGCCATGCGTCACGGATAATTTTATTCGTTTGCGCTTCATAGCTTTGAGTCCAGCCGTGAATGATGAAACGCGTGGGATTACTGGCATCGAAATTGGAATTCGAAATGGATTTGGAATCAGCTGTAATTTTTTGTCCACTATATTGATTTCTTGCGGTGTAGAGATAGTATGTGACGGGAGAGATGCTGATTTCTAGGTCTTCCTGCTGTTCCAGTTCAGCAAGGAGATTTTCACCCTCCTCTGTAGTCATCCAAACGAATGAGCCATCATTTTGCGGTACATACCAACCATTTTCACCGTTAATGCGCCCGTCGTCGTCGTCCTCAACAGGAGCAGCCGTAGCTAAATTTATGAGAGCAGATTAAAATGGGGAAGAAAGGACTTAAGAATAAAAAAGGAAATTGTGGGATTATTTTATTACCTGTCAACACAAAAACTGCCAATAGTAGGAAAACCTTCATTTTACAAGTAGTGCCGAACAAGCAATGATCTTACAGCTCGTGTTTGCGCATTTTATAATGTTTTCATAAGTACTACCGCCAGATAGCATCTGAAATAAAAACAGTGAAACTTCAAGTGGCTAAAATAAAGGTTTATGCAAACAAAAATTCTCTAATTGTACATGTGATCCTTTGTGATTATAGTTACTTATGTTTCTAATTTGTATACCTAGGTATGCATGTCGTAAGGGCCCCCTTTCTGATGAATAGTGGCACTGTGTTTGTCTTTTATTATATGTAAATGAATTTCAGTGACGTTTAAGATGCAAACAAAATTGCATAAATAATCTCATTCTTTGAGATAAGTGAGAACGTAAAGTACTGCCTGCAACAAAATATTCTTTTGTTTCCTCTTTATTTACCTACTGGCTTTCACTCCAACGGATGTTTGTGAAGTCTACAGACACTCAATTGTACATATTTATGTGCATTAGGGTGGTAAAAGAAAAAGTAAAATCGGAATTTTAATGCTCTCACCTCCTAGAATTCTTTTATACCGAAAATATATAACCCTGTTTTTTATTTTGAAATCAATAAATATTTAGAGGTCGCTCAAAGTTTGCTACGTATTTTATATGGGAACAAATCATTTCTACGTAGAAATGGTACAGAATTCCTGAAAATCCATACTTTTCGATAGGAAGGCTCGGTTTCTCTTCAGGAGAATTCCAATAATAATACAAAATTAATTACTTAACCGTCTTTTAATAATATTGCCATTTTTTTATAGGTCCACCAAACACCACACAAAATGCAATGGGGGACCACAAAAAATCGTTAATACATATTAAGAAATGGTAAAATAAATAATTTTGTAGCTTTTTAAGAATTCTATACAATTTTTTACGAAAAGCAGATTTTTTCCCATATAAAATACATGGAAAACTTTGAGCGAACTCTAAATATTTTTTTATTTCAAAATAGTAAAACTGGGTGATTTTTTCGGGTATAGAACTATCCTAGGGGGTGAGAGCTTACATGCATTTTTGGATCACCCTAATATACATGCATGCGTACATAAGCAGTATGAGCTCAAGTTGAGCGAAACAGATGTTTGTTGGCGGAGCGCCACCGCAAAGGGGAAAAGTCTCTGTTAGGGTACCTCGCCCCCAAATCGCTGCCGACCAACAGTACGAATGTAGGAAGGAGAAATGGCGCGAAATACCGTAGCGGGGGTCTCGCCTTTTTCTCTCTTATTGTGGCACTTTTGTTGTCCTTATTGCGACCGCAAAGGATTTATCTTGAGTTTGGTAGCGTAATTAGTCTAAACATTAAATTTTTAAAAGTACCAGGTGAGGTATTCAAGCTGCAGCAGCCCATGATAGTGGAGGAACGGCGCCAGTCAAGGTGTAGCAATAGAGTCGGCAACGGATTTGGGATCATATACCCAAGAAGCCCCCCTGCGATCGGAACTACCACCGACCGCTTATAAGTATCATTTCTTGTGTTGTTCTTTTTCCAGGCTTAGAATTGTCGGTTGCATTCCTCCAATTGTTTTTCCCTATCTCATCCTATTTACGCCCTTCAGCGCGGGCGGTAGTGCGCTTGTGTTCGCAAACTCACGGTTAGACACCACTTCGGGTGCGCCCCAAAAACAAGTTTTTCTTTCTTTCTAAAAACGTTGTCTTAATTGTTTTGTTTTTTTTGCGACCCACCCTAGTACTATGTTAACTTAGTTGCAATTGCCGTTTATTTATTTGTCTAAGTCGAGTCTGTTTAGTCAGTTTTATCTGTTGTTGTTAATTTTTTTTGGTAGTGAGTGCATTTGCCTTATTGTTTTCCACATTAGCCGTATCCACTGAGACAGCCGGATGCTTGGTTTTTTCATCCTATTTTTCATCTTCTACTTCGGGATCATCTTGGAAATAGTTCTGTACCATTTCGGGACTTGTTCTGGACTATTTTAGGACCATTATAGAACTAGTTCGGTATAGTCTTGGGAACAATATGGGGCCATCTCACGCCGGTTTCAAGACCTTTTGGGACTTTTGCTGGACTATTTAAGGACCACTTCGGGCCTAGTTGGGAATAATTTCGAGCCTACTTCGAGACTAGGTCAGGTTCGTATCCGGACTAGCTCAGGATATATTAGAGACTTGTTCTAGACTCTTGGGGGACCATTATGCCATGGTCATTTCGAGACTAGTTCAAAACTTTTTTATGAACATTACGAGGCTCGTTCGGGATCAATTTAGCAGTATTGCAGGAGAATTTAGGGACTAGTTCGGTATTCTTTAAGGACTAGTAAATACCGATTTCGGAACCGTATAGACTGATGAGTATTTACGCATACTGTTTACATATCGTAGATTTCAAAAACGGATTTAAATATCAAGAATTAACACTTAGTTGCTCGCATGGGGTCAAACCACCAACCAAAACAAACCAAAAACAAGTAAGAAAGTCTAAGTTCGGGCGGAGCCGAACATT